GGAGAGGGAGAAGCAGGCTTCCTGCCGAGCAGGGAGCCTGATGCGGGGCTCGATCCCAGGACCCTGAGATCATGACCTGAGCCAAAGGCAGTTGCTTAACCAACTGAGCCACCCAGGCACCCCCCTATTTAATTCTATTTCCGAAATTGGTAACAGTGTCATAAGTATGCCCAGTGCCCAGCCCAATGCCTGGTATCACATAGTAGGCACAATTAAATTCAATATGGGTAGAGCATGCTACAATTTTGGGGTCAAGTGGAAGGAATAATTGCACTGTCACACACAAACATATTTTTGGTAAATGGATGTTTCTTTATATAGAGGTGCCCAAAATTCCAGCAGTTTGTTGGGGGAAAAGGGCTTAGCGACAGCACCAATGATTGAAGCTGCCATTCCATTTTACGAAGGCCAAGGAAGAGGTTACTAGTGAAAAGTTAATTATGGACTTGGCATGAGAATATTCTATTCCACTGCAAAGTATTTGAGCACCCATCATCTCAGCCCTTTACTTTCTCTCTCGTGGGCTAATGTGAGAGCAATCTTACGGATATTATAAGAACTTCTTTCTTCCTCAACCTTTATGAAAACAATGCATTGTAAAATATATCTAGAAAACCTTTCCGAGACACTTCTTTTAATGGGCTTTTTATTCTAATGGTAATTGTACCTTTATCTTTCAAAAGCTGGTATTTCCTACCTAAAGCCATTTCTCCCCAAAATATCTCATTAAAAAGTCCACAGGAAAAAAAAGGGAGAAGAAAGCCTTAGGTATCATTTCCAAAACAGTGATTGAAATCTTCCCAAGTAATTATAGCTTATATCATCAGCAGAGGTAGTCTGGCTCGGCTTACCCCATAATCTAATTTCAGGGGCCGTGGGTTGGGGGGAGCTTTATTTTAACACTCATCTAAATCAACACTAAAGCCTTTCCTCTGGAAGGATTTATTGAGAAACTCAAATGAATATGCTTTTTGAATTAATGTTCTCCAAGGCGTATAGCTTCCTGTGCTTCTGTGTCAGACTGAATTCACCTTCCAGAACACTTTCCTTACCTCGCCTTGTGTGGTTTCATTTAAGCCGCGCTGGTTAGAAACAGCATCTCAGACCTTACAATCAAATGACAAAGAAGGCAATTGGACTTTTTCAGGAATACGGACAAGTGGTTTCTGTTTTCTAAAGGACAAAATAAAGAGAATGTCTTGTTTTTAATTAGGCTCTTTCCCCTGCTGAGTCGAGAATTGCAGTACCATACCTGTTGACTACCACTGCCAGATCTAAAAACTCAAAGAAAGGAGTAAAGTGTTATGCTAACTTCATTGCCGTGTGGTAGGATTTTTTATCTTGTTATGTCCTTTCTTAGAGAATCCTGACAGACAACTGTAACTGCTCTGTCTCAGAGCGGCACATAGGAAAGTAGAGAAAAAAGAAAACTATTATTCTTTGTCCCTTAGGAGATACCTGAAAACTTTTAAGTGGAAAAGATTACTGTGTTTAAATCTGCCTTCTTATGGAAAAACATGAAGTAGCCCAAGTATTTTATAATTTTGTAGAAAAAAATACGCATCTATTTTTTCCTTGACTTGTTTTTATATAGTAATAAAAGTTATTTTGGAAGCTATCTGTGTGTGTTAACCATTTGTCCAAGCTGGAAGGTGTAGTTATTCTTCTGCAAGTTTCTGTCCCATGGTTTTTTGTTTGTTCGTTTGGGGAAAGAAAAAAAGATTTTTAAGTTTCTCTCTCTTTTTTTTTTAAGATTTTGTTTATTCATCTGACAGAGAGAGACACAGCGAGAGAGGGAACACAAGTAGGGGGAGTGGGAGAGGGAGAAGCAGGCTTCCCGCAGAGCAGGGAGCCCGATGCGGGGCTCGATCCCAGGACCCTGGGACTATGACCTGAGCCAAAGGCAGACGCTTAACGACTGAGCCACCCAGGCGCCCTTAAGTTTCTTTATTGAAAATGCTGTCAGATTTTTTTTAATAAAGTGTACTCTGAGTACCATATTTTTCCATTGCTGGGAGGATGAGAGGATTGTTTCAAAACTGCCAGGGTATCCTCCTCTGCACAGGAGCAGAACTAGAGCCATAGGTTTAGGCAACCAAAGCAGATGACAGTTTAAGTTGGAAAAGCATGGAAGGAGGGCCTCTTAAAAGAGCCGATTATTACAGAACTCTGTGTTTACAGTTACTCATCCTTGAGAAAGTACAGAACTCATTATGGATGAATTGTTGGATTTTTTTTCCCCAAATAACAAAAAAGGATTAGTCACGTCTAAGTAGTGCCAATAGTCCTCCAATCTTAATTTAACCACTCATGTAGTCTTTTTTTTCACCTACTTTTTGTCTCCTGAGAAATGTTAACGGTATTTTATATTGTGTAGCTATAATAACACCATAATATTACATATACTATTATGCAATAGGGCTATAACATTGTGTGTAAATTGAATTTTTATGTTACATCATAGTTTGTCATTGATTTATATTATTAATTTCAGGGGTACTGTATTTTATTTCAAATTGACCTTAATTGGCAAGTACTTACGATACTTTATAAATATATGGCTCAAACACACTAACGTGATTTTTTTAATGTAATTTTACATATATTAGCTCATTTAATTTAATTTGCAGTTGTACTGGACAATTACATTGTCCACCATGCCCAGCCTTCCCAACACAGCTCTGTTTTACTGACTACATATCACCTGCGTTTCCTCAGCCACAGCTAATGGGATGAGAGTGGGAGATAACATGCCACTCGTATGTGGCCTCTCTATATAGCTGGCCAAGGCACTGTGAAGTGGCCTGGTATGAAATGAAAATGTCCGTCTTTCATTTCATTTCAGATGGAGGAATGAGCATTTCAGAGAATTTGAATTGGGAAGTACTTCAAGACCAAGTCAGGGAGAACAGAAGTTAAATGAATACCTAGAGACAGGAGCCCTGAGGAAAGCTAGACCCCAGGGATCAGGAAATTGTCTGTAAAGAGCCAAATAGGTTTTGTGGACCACATGGTTTCTGTGG